TTTTGTTTAAGTCATCATTTTGTGTTTGTATCATTATTTTTCAAGGGTTAGTGTTGAACATTCCATCTGTGAGATATCCCCATAGGAAAAGGTCACATGGATTTAAATCTGATGAAACAAGTGGCCACTCAAAACTTCTGCCTTGGACATGTGTAGGATTTGAGGTTCTCACAGCAGTGGTGATGAAGAGTTCTATGTTCTTTGAAAGTGTAGTGCATTGAAAGTGAACTGATATTTTGGAAGAACATGTTGCCTCCATCTTCAGGGTCAAAAAATGAGCCAAGCAAGAAAACAGTGGCTTATTCCTTGACCCTGAAGATGGAGGCAATGTGTCCCCCTGAAATGTCAGTTGACTTTCAGCAGACTACACTTCATTATATCGCAGAAGATGGAACTCTTCATGAGGAAGTCTGTTTGAAAGCACTGTTGTTTCCAAATGTTTCCTTTAAAAAAATCCAACACAGTACCACCTCTGAAGCCTGGTTCCTTCTTGCTGGAACCAGGCCTTACCCATATCAACACCATGACCAATGGGAAAGTGACAGAGTCATTCTGCAAAACATTAAAGTAAATCTGAGAACTGACTATGTCTTTGATAGATGCAAGTCCGAATGTGTCATTACTGGAAAGAGGACACTATGCTGTAACTTGTTGAGGATGTAAGGTAACAGTAACAGTGTGTTGATTTTGTAAAACCCAGTAATGAACATTCTATTTGTTCAGATAACCATCTAAATAAGAATGGGCTTCATGAGAAAACTGTATCTTATTTAAAATGTCTGCCTCATTCTTTAAAAAGTCTGACAGGCCATTGCAAAACACAAAAAGTCTGTGTTTCCCTAAGTCACTTAAATGTTGGGATAAATTTATCTTGTAAGGATATGTCGAGAAGTTAGATTGGTAAGTTTCTCTCACTGTTCAGTAGCTTGTATTAATTTGTTGTGAAAGATACTGAAGGCTATTCTCAGGACTCTTTTAAGTAATGTTTTAAAATAGGTCATGGATGTTTCCTTCCACATCCCTCCTAATTTATCATTTATCATGCCATCAAGTTTCACTCAGCGTAGCATAACTGTATTAGTTGAAACGGAATCATATGACTGCTAATAAGTATCAAGGCTCGGTAGTGTAGTTGGTTGAGGCGCTATGCTACAAGCTGGAAGGTTGTGGGTTTGAGTCGCGATGAGGTGGATTTTTTTCGATTGACCTAATCCTTCCAGCCGCACTATGGCCCAAGGATTGACTCAGCCTCTAACAGAAATGAATACCAGGAATGTTCCTGGGAGTAAAGGTCAGCCAGCATGTAAGGCTGACAACCTCACTGCCATCTGTGAGGCAACTATCCAGAGAAAATGTGGGAGCCTTGACATCTCACAACCCTTTGGGCCTTCATGTCCTGTTACAGGGATAGCTTTACCTTTAAGTAACAACGAGTGTACGCGCACACGCACACACACACACACACACACAGAACATCATCCCGAAGATGAAAATAGCAGGTTTAGCACAATATGACACACTGTGTTTTAGTATGGTGATCTTGGGAAGCTGACATTTCCTGGTAAGAAGACTTTTCACAATATGGAACGCACCGTGCTGGAGAAGAGAATGAAGATGCTAAATGATTACATGCAGATTCTGCTGCAGCATGGGGTCATAGATACACACCCACAGTTGCAGAGAATGCTGTTGGCATTCCTTGAGCAGGGGGACTATGACAAAGGTGTAACTGGAGGACAGATAGCTCGCACGGTAACTGCCTCAGACATATATGATACTATCAGTATGAGATACTGTTCACCATCTTATACCAAGCTTCAGACCACACTAGCATTTCTCACATGCAGTGTAGTTTAGCCAGAAACAGTTGCACACTTGATAGCTTTCTGTCTCTTCTACCATCTTCTGTCTTTTATTCATTCCTTCCTCCTTTCTCTCTTTATCTATTCATTTTCTCTTTTTGCCCCCTCCAGTGCCTCCATCCCTCCCTCATTATGTTCATCTTCAGCCCTTCTTTCCCTCCTCCTTCCATCCCCTGTCTTGTTTTTCCCTCGTTTGTTATCCTACTGTCTGATTTCCAAAATTTCAGTCATCTCTGTGGAGTCTCCATAACCTACATTCGTGATTGTTGTCTGCATGAGCAGTAACATAGTAATGTGTTTGCTCAGTGGTGTCTTCCCCACCCCCAAGTTTGTTGCCAAACCTGGGCCTCCATATTTGGAAGTCAGCAGCCGAGGTCATATTAATGAAGCATTTCAGTAAATAGCATAATATTTTACAAAGTCATTGTTGTCACTAGAAATGCAATTTTTGGCTAAAATTTTAGCAAAAATGGTGTGTTTCAAATGTTGTGAAATTTCAATGATGGAGTTTGTGCCAGCATGCATGCTCATTACCAAGGAGGTTAGCTTGCTTTTGACGTGTGGGAAGTGCGTATTTTTAACCCAGGTCATCATGACTGAGTTTCTATGACTTTTCAGAATTTGTGCATGCAAACCATTGGATAATGCATAAAACTGGCCATGACTGCTATCTCGTACAACCCTACTGACCCATTCATAATCATTTGAATCAGCATTGTGTAACTGCCTACTGATGCATGTGCCATGTTTCTGTAGCTGGACACACTAGTGAACCCTCTGAAGAGTTCAATGCGAACTGTTGGGCAGGCAGTACGCACCATGCCTGACAATCTCATGAGTACAGTGGATGGTGTAATGGATGGCATAAGCAAGGTATTCCAGGGGAAGACAATCCGTGCACCTTGTTTTTATGAGTCCATGAAGGTTGGAGCATCACTTCATGTTGATGTGAGTACTTAATGAAGCCATGCTAATGGACCAATACTCTTCCTAAAATTTTGATTTATGTTTAACAGTGCTTAGGTGTTTGAAGTCTGTAAATGGTAAAGTTGTGCTTATACTCAACTAAGCACCAAACCATGAAGATTTATGGGGGAATGGTGGTAAAACTCCACTCAGTCTTAACCTCAGCACTAGCCAGAGACATGTAATCGCTGTCATACCCCCCCCCCCAAAAAAAAAGAGCCTGTAATACCTATTAAAAATGATGCTGGGTGAGCCCAAGAGCTGGTTTCGAAGTGGTGGTTAAGAGAAAAGTTCTGGCCTTATCAGGAATAGAGCCCCCTCTCATCCAACCCATAGCCTAATCACTACAGACTGAGCTTTCCCAGCTCCCATTGGAAGTCTGTACTAGGAGAAATTATGTACCAAAGTAAGTTAAAGCACACATACATGTATGTACTTTTTGATTTACAGTTTTACTGCTTTCTGTATTCAGATGGGAGCATTTGACATTTGTTGACAACTGGGTGAGCCCACTGAATTAATATTCAAAAGTGCCTGTGTTCAATCCTGATTGATAAAGTAATAAAGGACACAAAATATATAAAATCTGCCCATGTAATGACACTAGTCACCCAAAGCCAGGAACAGAGCACATTGCTTGGTTTAAGGCAGGGCTTATACCAAAGATGTACATGTGACACAATATACAGTGCAATGTACAATATCACAAACTCATTTCAGAACTGTGGGTTTGAGATTGACAGTTGAGACCAGAGAGACACAACAGCAATATGATAAGCACGCTAGTGCCACGTGACTTCGACGTGTGTTGTGTTTTATGTTGCATATCTCTGGTGTTGACCCTGCCCACCACATATATCTTAGACAGTCAACGATATTCTACTTAATTATTCCACGTGTCGTTGCAAAGAAAATTGTAACCATTTCTTACTATCATCTGTCTATTCTAGACTGATGACAACATCCCACTGCGAATTATGCTGCTTCTTATGGACGAGGTATTTGATCTCAAGTCTCGCAACCAGTGGCTTCGTCGACGGATAGTGACGCTCCTGCGTCAGATTATACGCACCATGTTTGGTGACATTGTGAACAGGAGGATATTAGATTATGTGTCTGTAATGACCAGCCCTGAGCAGGTTGCAGACTACCTCCGAGCATTCAAGTAAGTTCTCGTCAGTGATGTGGTAGAAGATTGGCTACATCGTTTGAATGAGCAAGATTTTCCTGTGGTGTTAGCTTCCTTCTAAACAATTCCCAGTGAGACAAGTACTATATTCACTTAACTTATGCACCTTTTTTACCCGCAAAAGCATGTCTGAAATTTGTTAAGCATTCTGTATTTCAGCATCCCATTGTGATTGTTCAAATTAGCATCCATTGTTTATCTTCCGTCAACATTGCAACATTTTTTACATTCTACACTTTAATACTACAGGTTTCGGCCTCAAATGGCCATCTTCAGGTGTTTTTATGTTACAGATATTTTACTAAAACTGTGTTAAAACTGCTACACTGTTTTAATTCATGTTAAAATCACACATTGTAGTCTTCTTAAGTAAAACGAGATAAAATTCATTAAAACTTCTGTTGCATATTATTTCACCTCACCCGGGGTGTCATCATTTTCGTAAATGTATGGAGGTGTTTTTCTCGGCAGCTTGCCCCTCACGTTCATGGTTTACTTTCAGTTTTTGACTGCCATATGCTCCTGGTTTGTGTGTTCTTCCTCCATAGTGTGTGGTGTTGTTTTTACTAGACTATACACCACACATTTTCCCGACGATGCATTAGCTGCTGGATACTTGGATCATAGAAGGTCTCATTTGGATTGTTTAGGAAGTCCACTGCAGAAATGACATCATCATTGTCTTTGAATTGCTTACCATGAAGTGGCTTCTTTAGCCATGGAAAGAGGAAGAAGTCACTCGATGGCAGGTCTGGTGAATATGGTGGATGGGGAGAATTTCATAGCCTAAACTGGCAGCAAGTGTCGTCGTAGCATGAGCTGGTGCATTGTCTCCCAGCATTTTGTGTCACTTTTTCTTGATTTGCTCCTGTAATTTTTTCAGAAGGTTCTGGTACTATTCACCAGTGATGGTGACGCCCTTTTGCATGTATTTGGTCATCATGACACCCCACCGATCCCAGAACATGCTCTACATCACCTTTCCTGATGGCGGCTGGGATTTAGCCTTCTTTAGTGGTGACGAGTCTGCACGTTTCCACTGCTTGCTCATTTCCTTTGTTTCAGGGTCATAATGATAGACTCAACATTCATCCGTTGTGATCAGGTGGTCGAAAAATTCCGCCTTTTTGTCTTGACACAACTGCAAAAATATCTTTGCCACATCCATCCGTTGCTGTTTTTGAACTGGTGTCACCAATCGTGGCACCCAACGTGCAGCGACCTTTGTCATGAGCAGGGCCTGGATTTTGATGACCTGAAAATATCTGAAATATGATCTATAAAATGACCAAAAATATTTAAAAAACGACCTAGAAATTAAAAAGAAGGCCTAAAAAGTAATTTCTAAATGTTCTTATTTGCATATTGAAAAAAATATTTTCTTCATTGTTGTCCTTTGAAATAAACCAGCGTCTCCTTGCATTTTAAAATATATGTTTTTATGATATCGAGATTTTGTTTGAAGTAATTGACCCTCTGCACCTGTGGGGCGATAGCCTTTACAGAGACGTGTGACATAGAATATTATATCTTCCTAGATGTAGTGTCTCATTATAACAACAATGTGAATATCACAACATTTCGTTTAGTTTCCAATTTCTTGATTTTATGACACCCCTCTGCATTTCTGAGGCATCAGTTTTACGAGTTTATGACATAGCGGTGGCTTAGAAAGCGGTGCGGGATAGTAACGGCATCTCTGGCGGCTTAGAAAGAAAAATAATGTGCCCTCTCACAAAAAATCTATTATATTTAGCGACAGAGGCTAGAGATACAAAACAAAATTTACTTGAAGAACATAGATTTCTACCTCATGAATCAAATATCTTTAGTTTGATCAATGAATGTCAATTATTAAAAAAACATGAAAGATAACCAAAATTGATGTAAAACGTGAAAAAATGACATAAAGACTTGTAAAAATGACCTAAAACTTAAAACATACAAAATATGACCAAAAAATGCACAATAAAATTCAAAATTCACATTTTTATAACCAGAGGTTCATAATTGGGGCTTTAGTACTTAAAAGCAACGTTTACTACATAAAGAAAAAAGATGACATGTCATCAAAATCCAGGCCCTGGTCATGAGTAACTCATCATGGATGATGTTGAAAACCGACCCATGGCTAATGTGGACCTCATGAACAATAGCTTCAATAGTTATATGCCTATCAGTTAGGATCAAAGCTTCTACCTGTGCCAGAATTCCCAGTTCCTCAGCGAGAGATGGTCTTCCACTTTGGGGTTCATCTTGGAGGTCTGTCTGTCCACAATGAAAGTGCCTCTTCCACCTGACCGCTGTGTCATATGGTGGTACACCTTCTTGATACACAGTGGTCATCTGGTCATGGATCTCCATGGCAGACATCCCTTGCAAATACAGGAACCGTATCACAGCGCAAGCCTCCACTTTCTCAACCGACATCAACATTTCGCTTTTGCCCCTTCTGGTGGCTCCCTCTGTCCACTTGGTACAGGAAAATTCGACTGTTCGGCAAGCTCAGGAAATGTTCTATCTCTTATATAGAATGATATTGTGGAATAATGATTTTCTCGTGGTGATAATTGAAACATTATGACTTCCCATTGTATAATTAAGTTAGGAGGGAAGTATTGTACAATGTTCTCAAAGAGTTTGGTGTACCTATGAAACTAGTTAAAAAAAACAAACTCCGTGGCGTGTAGTCTGCAAGTGTACTATACTGACCAAGCGACCGCCACTTGTCAGTAAAGTTAGTGCCAACTTTTGCAGATAGAGGGTGTTGCGTAGTCAGCACAACAGATCCCCACGGCTGTTAATCTCGGTTTTCTAGATCGTATGAAACTAGTTAGGCTGATTAAAGTTTGTTTAAATGAAATGTATAATAAAGTCCATATAGGTAAACATTTGCCTGATAATTTTCCTATCCAGAATGGTCTAAAACAAGGAGATGCTTTATCGTCACTGCTTTTCAGCTTTGCTTTAGAATATGTCATTAGGAAGGGCCAGGAAAACCAAATGGGACCGAAATTAAATGGGACACTTCAGCTGCTGTTTTATGCTGGTGATATGAATCTACTGGCAGATAATGTAAATGNTCGTCACTGCTTTTCAGCTTTGCTTTAGAATATGTCATTAGGAAGGTCCAGGAAAACCAAATGGGACACTTCAGCTGCTCTTTTATGCTGGTGATATGAATCTACTGGCAGATAATGTAAATACCATAAAAACAACACAGAAACTTTAATTTACTTTAGTATGGAGGTTGGCCTACAAGTAAACCCAGAGAAAACTAAGTATATGTTGCTGTCTCATCACCAGAATGTAGGGCAAAATCATGACATGAAGATGGCTAACAGATACTTTGAAAATGTGGCACAGTTTAAATATTTGTGAACAACAGCAACAAATCAAAATTTGAGTCAGGGGGAAATTAAGAGAAGATTGAACTCGGGTAATGCTTGCTACCATTCAGTCCAGAACCTTTTCTTTTCTCGTCTGCTTTCAAAAAACTTAAAAATTAGAATATGCAAAACTATCATTTTGCTTGTGGTTCTGTATGGGTGTGAAACTTGGTCTCCGACATTAAGGGAGGAACATAGACTAAGGGTGTTTGAGAACAGGGTGTTGAGGAGAATATTTGGACTGAAGAGGGATGAAGTGACAGGAGGTTGGAGTAAACTGCATAATGAGGAGCTTCATAACCTGTACTCATCACCAAGTATAATTAGAATAACCAAGTCTGTGAGATGGGAAGGTCAGGTAGCATGAGTGGGGGAGAAGAAGAATGCACATAGGATATTGGTGGGAAAGCCAAATGGAAAGAGACCACTGGGAAGGCCAAGGCATATGTGGGTGGAAAGTATTAAAATGGATCTTAGAGAGATAGGATGTGATGGTATGGATTGGATTAATGTGGCTCAGGATAGGGACCAGTGGAGGGTTCATGTGAACACTAATAAACTTTTGGGTTCCTTAAAAATCCTGGGAAGTTCTTGAGTAGCTGTGTGACTGGCCACTTCTCAAAAAGGGCTCAGCTTTGTTAGTGACTGAGTGAGTAGTCACTTGGGGGGACAGAGGTAAACATATTAATTAGGGAATGCCATGTACACATGTGATACACTATCATACCACTCACCTGGAGGTATTCATTTAAACCACAGAACACAATGCTTGTGTCAGGCTGAGATGTGAATATAAGAAGGCTGTGTTGTTTGCTGCTTTGTAACATTCAGTACAGACATGAGTCATATGATGACTGTATTATGCACAGACAATCCTTCTGGCCAAATGGCTACAAGGCAGAGCCTCGTCTACCCCGAGATGAAGCGATCCGTATGCGGACTCGAGTTGCTGCTAAAGTGGCCCTGCTTTCCAGCCTGTCTGGTGAGTGTCAAATTGTTTCAGTTATCTCTCAATACAATGTCCTATCTTCAGAGTTTATAGTTTGGGTGTAATATTTGTTGTCTTTGTGGCCCCTGGCTAACTTATGTACTCTGCATAATTTAGTCTACATTGTTTCTCTGAATATATTTGTAGATGAATTGAAGCACATAATAGGGAGCGAAACCACGAGACGAGGACTCTTATGCGTGTTTGAACTATTTCAACATCCTATGCTGAACCGCCGCCTGTTATATGTCTTGCTGGAGGGTGTGCTGGAAACTTTGTTTCCCCAACATAATCTTGCACAGATCTTCCGTAAACTCCATTCTCGTTCTGGCAGGGTTCGTGATGACTTCAAGACTTCACAAAGGACAAGAAGTGACCTTCGCAGGTGATCACCTTTTTTTTTCTCTTTTTTATTTTCATCTTTGATTGTATAAAAGCAGTGCAACGTTCTTCTATCCTCCCATAACTTTGTATCCATTAAATCCTTCTGAACTACAATTTCTATTAAGTATTCTCTTAACCCGATGAAATTGAATATTCCTTCTCTCCACTAAGGTCTGTTTCCACTGCTTATGTTAATATCACATGTCTCAGTGACTAAAGACAAGGTTCAGATTGGTAATTGGATTTATTAACAACGTACAGGTCGTAAGTATAAATAATTATAGCACTGTTACTCACACTACAAAGCATTTGATGCTAATCTCTTCAGTGCATCTGCACTAGTCTTCACAGATTTATAACACAGGAACTATAAGGGTCTAGTGGTCAGCATTCCTGGCTACAGATCCAGAGGTTCAGGTTCGATTCCCAGCACTACCAGATTTTTTCAGAAAAGTAGTGGATCTGGAACGGGGTCCACTCAGCTTCGTGATGATAACTGAGGAGCTATTTCAAGGAAACAGTGGCTCCGGTCTAGAAAACCGAAATGAACGGCTGTGGGGATTTGTTGCACTGACCATGCGACACCCTCTATCCGCAAAAGTTGGCACTAAACTGCGCCGACAAGCGGCAGTTGCTCGGTTAGTATAGTTTGCTTGCAGACTAAAATCACGGAGTTTGTTTGAGTTTGGAACTATAGGGTCTCTCTGAATTACACACTCTGAATATTGCTGCACTGTAGCACACATAAAGTCTTCAGATCACATGTTAAATCTTCACAGGCTGACTACTTGTACTCCTCTGTACTCCTCAAGCTTACTGCTTGCTTGCTATTTGCGTACTTCTGCTGCCGCTACCACTCGTAACTCGTAACTGCCTTGAACAAATTCTTCCACTCTTACTCACATGGCTGCAGGACAAACATGGACCTACAGTAAACACATATCATGTAATTGCTGTCCAGCCATTCTATTCGTGCGTCGGTTGGACCTACAGAAAACACAGCTTCCTCTATTGTTGTGTGTTGGATTGTGTTTACAGAGCTGTTTCCTGGCAATGCATTGAGCAAATCCTTTATATTAATATGAAATTAAAATATTTGTTTGTTTTAGATTTGCAACTTTTAGAGAAGACATATTTTTGTACCAGGTTAAATTATGTCACATTTGGGATTGTTATGAATTTTTGTATTTGCTGCCTAAACAGTGTGATTTATTTGCTTCTGTTACTTGTTTCCTTAGAGACACATTTAGAACTACTTATGCTAGTCATCAGATATTCTTATTGCTATTCATGTCAGTCTTCAAGCCATAATCTTAAATGTTGTACCCCACATTTCATTTCTGAGTGAACTGCTTCGTTCTTTCTGCCCCATGCTTTTCCATTGTTGGTGCCTTTGTGAACTGCGTGATGTTGCTTACTTAGTGCAGGAATGTTTGGTTGTAGGTTGTTTGCAGCCATATGAGTTCACTTTGAAAGGTTTCCCCATTTAGTGACAATAAACTAGACAGTCTGAACCAAATTATGACCTGGCTGAAGCTGCATACAACTTGCAAGAACTTGATATTTGCTTAGAGAAGAGTTTATGAGCTTTAGGAACCACTCAACAAAGGAATTTATGTGCTTACATGCTATCATTTTTAAACTTTGGTGAATGCCATATTGAAACATGGGTTAATTTTGTTTGCATTTGATGTCAGTGAATGGTAGAAAGGATTGTGTATCTAACTTGTGTTACGAAGGTTCCTAGTTCAGATCTTCCCAAGACAGTGTTTCTTTTTCATGTAGGTTTCTTGAGTTAGTCCATTAAAATTCAGGGATGATACTTTTCTTCTTATATTCATTTGAATTTGTGCTTTCCTTTTATTTCTGGCATATATAATGTAAGCGAACCAACAGCAGAGAGTGTGTCCTACCAAGAATTAATATTTGTATCATCTTTGTAGTGCCAAAATGTTTATCTGTTTTATAACTTTCAGAAATAATGCATGGCTGTAGACGGACGTATACTACCGTAGAGCATGACACAGTTTTGCTTATAACAGTCACATGCAGACTGCATTCATTACCTTGGTTTGGTTTGTGCAGGTGATAGCGGCCCACCTTAGATGCAGGCTAGTCAACAAGAAACTACTCAACATATGCCATGTGATCCTGTCTCTGTGCTGCACATTCCCACGAAACCTTTTGGCAAATATTGAACATTCTTCAGTGTTGTCAAGGATCATGTGATAATCAGGGTTCAGATTGGAACTGACTTTAGCATTTCCTTTCTGACCATTGGTTGTAACATGTTACCACCATGCACTTATTTCAGCAGAGTGCTGAAGAGATATCATGCATTATGATATTTATGTTTTATTATTGTCTGTGTTCAGTATGGTTCACAGAGTCTACATGGATGAATGTTGGGGACCAATCATAGAGAGATAGAAGTGAAACCTCCTTTCACATGCAACTCAGACAGCAGTTATCGTTATCACAGGACAGGTGTTCACAGTGTAAATACTGCATAGCAGAAATGTGACAGCTTGGCTATTGCAAACATAAAACTGTTGCAAGGTTATAGCAACACCTCTAATACTGTGGTGGCAATTTTCTGACGGTATATGACATAAAGGTATTACTGATTAAAAGAAATTACATGGACTTATAAAACAGCATAAAATTTGTATCTCTAAACCAGAAACTAACATTTTTAACTGATCACGTTTGGATCTGTGCTCAGAGTGAAACCTGGTTCTTCCCTGCACAATAAAATGTGTCTGATTTAGTTCACTTGTTTTCTGCTGTAAAGAACAGGTCACTTTCAAAAGGTATCTCACTCACTAGTGGGCATAATTGTCTGCAGATTTATGTGAAAAAATTTGTTAGTATTTCAACATGTCCGATGGACATGACACATTCCTTGTCTGCCTGCATATCTGTGACCAATAATTTTTAATTAAATTAAGAATAAATTTTCTTAGAGCTTAATGCCTCTTAAGAATTTGTGGAAAACTTTGTCTTAATTGGAGATAAACAGGTAAATAATTCCATTTCTGAATTCCGTGAATGTAGTACTTGTCACCAGTTGTCACCATGAGAAGTGAAATTTTTAAAGTAACTTCAGGTCCCAAGCCTGCTGAGGGTCTGTTCATCTCCAAATGATTGGACTCTAACCTTCAGAGAACTGAACACTTGAAATTGTATAAACCTCACAAGTTTAAAAGCAGGGTCAGTGATAATCAATCTAATTATAGCTTGAACAGTGGGGTTATGCAATACATGACTGGGCTTTTCCACACTGAAGCCTCCTGTTCTTCAGTATCAGCCAATTCCATCAGAGTACTGATACTTTGTTGTACAGTTTAGCGGAAATGAATGTTTTGAAACTGGAAAAGTAATTTAAACAGTTGGTAGTATTTACTTTTCTAATGTATGACAGAGCAAGGTATGATAGTGAATGCAGTACGATGAAAGTTGAACTAAAAAAAAAAATCTCTTTTATCATCCAAGCCAACCTGCTAAAGATAAGCAGCTGTGGAAGAGTAGCAGTCAGCACATCACAGGACTTTTTATCATTCCAAATATATCTGTAATTTGTATGAGAAGTCTTATTGTGCAACTGTCAGTGAGGACAGGGACAGGTAATCATAGTCACTTGGCACTACTGAACATATTATGTCTTTGTGTTTCCATTCCTAGTTGTACAAATTATATATTCTCCCCAGTTAACACAGTTTTAGTGTAAGTTATTGAATGTTAGGAAGAGTGATGTGGATTATTTCTCTGCGTGATTAGAAGGATTACCTCATATAATTTACAATGATAATCTTATTCAGAGGTTTCTCCCATTTGTAAGACCATTATTTAGATGAATTGCAAAAAATGTTCTGTTGTGCCTGCTGTCTTTAGCCTGTCCTCTCTTATGTTTATATAATATGACCCACTTTTGGCTGCAGACAAATTATTACATTTGGTATGGATATATACACTGAAACATGGGAAGCAATTAGATTTTTAGTCATGTTAGTCCATTAACAGATAAACAAGAATATTCCACTTTTTCTCATTTTTATTTCAGTTGTCATTATGGTTACAGTGAAATTTGATCTTGTGGGAATGTGACACCGTGTAGTCCAGTGTATTTATTGACATTCTGAAGGAAGGTAGTGTCTCCATCATACTGCAGTCTGCTTCTTGCTGTTAGTTGCGTGGCTTATGCTTTGATGCTGAAGATAGAGGCAGTCTGATCCTCTGAAACACTGGTGAACTTCTACTGGACTACATGGCGTCATTACTTATTTCACTAAACCATTTACTTGATTCCAGTGAAATTTTGTATATAGTATATAGTAAAAGTTGTAAGTTAACTGAATTTTCAGCCCCGTAAATCTGTCAGTGTTCCCACTACACAATGCACTGCTGTGAAAATTCGTTTGTGACACACTGTTGACATTTCCAGATGCGTAGAGCGGTCTCAGTTCACTTTTAAATCAGATGCATGACTGCTTGACTGCTTGTTTCAGTTATTGAACTCAGTTTTGAGATTGAATGAAAATTGCCATGCAAGACCTTACTGAAATTTATTTATTTCCTTATTCAGAGTTTATTTAACATGCTGTCAGTAGCAAAGACTATATAGCAATAATGATATGTAAAGAATGTGGCCTAATTTGAAATATTATATTGATATTTGCTGAAGGGTGTTGAGGAAAACCATGTAAACATCAGAATAGTCCATCTCTGGACCAAGATTTAATGCAGAACCTCTCAAATATGAAGTAGGCATGCTACATACATGAGTGTGACATTTGGTACTGAAATCTGTTAAAAAGAAAATTAATTTTGTCTCTATTGGAAAATTAGGAGTGACATTACTTGAAAATGTGTACCTTTGTCATAGCTAGGTGCTGCACTTCATGTACTCAGAATCCAGTCATACTATCCAGTTTTCAAGGAATACAGAATATGGGTTTCAATAAGCTGTTCAACATAAATAAGCCCTTTTCATGAAGATGCTGACAGGGAAATCACTGTTGACAGAACAGCACTGCCCATGATCAGCATGTTCTGTGCTCTGTTAGCACACTGTTTTACTGTAATCTCATGCAGCACCATAGTGATTGTATTATATACAGAGATATATACACCACAGTGAAAAACATTTACTGATAAGAGTTAACAGATAAGTTGTTTCTAGTGATGGCATTTTTATAAAACTGACAAAATTTGATAAAAGCGAATTTTGTATTGCTGTTTTTCAGAAACAGATCATTGATATTATTATGATAAGCCACATTTTTTCCATTATATGTGTTTTTTACATGATGGGAGTTTTTTTAAAATAGTGAAGTGTAACGTGTGAGCTTCATTTCTTTTGAAATAGGGCCTCTGGAAATATTATGTACTTTGTTGCAAAAAGTAATTGACCACTCTTTTTTGATAACAGAAACATGCTGAGCCATGTAATAATTTGTCTACCTTTGAACTAAGTGTGTGATGTACTGATGAATATTTTGTGTGTGGATGTATGTTGTGTTGCACCTTAAGGGTGCAGATGTGCAGAAACTGAATGATGACATATTTTTAAGAAGTGTGCCATTGGTTGAAAGAAGAATGCACTTTTAATACTGTACTCATAGCTCTAGGGTTTCGTGTTGTAAACCTATGTGTTGGGGATCTCCATAGTCGGTCTGCAGTGGGCTTTGTTTTTTAGTGCTAGAGCTCACTTCCCACTGGATGTCTTGCAGCCCCAAAGGAGACTTGAATGAAAAAACTGTGTTCCTTTTCAAAAGAACTTCTATATTTTTTTACTTTTTTCTGAAAACCCAGGTTTAATATTGCAGCACGTAGTTTGGAGAGAACAGCTGTTTATTTTAATCATATTATCCTGATGATGCATTTTGAACATAGGCTCTAGAGTCACCTCACTTTTAGCGAGTGAGCAGACAGCTTATTACCAACATGCTCTGGTTGAGAGGGATCACCTGAGTGGTTGGGTTCATGTATTCATGTTTGATTCATCTGTCATTGTTTCAGGAGCCACTGTATATCATCTTCCTGAAATTTTACCTACAGTCTGACAGTTATCAACTTTGAACATGTTCATAGTCAAGTTCTTGAAGACATTTCTACAAAGATTTTTTTCATCTCATCACTTACTATAAGGCTGCTTGTTGGTTGAGGAACGTTTCATATCACTCATTTTAGCAAGTGTTCAAACTTCTCTCCAAAAATACATATGACCCTATAAATGTATGTCATCCGCAGGCATAACTTTGATGTATACTTTTACTTTTATATCAGGTATTGATATGAAAGCTTTGTATCAGTCATCATAGACTAAGCGGCATTTATGTTGTCATATATTTTATTGCTGCTTAGCTGCTGGAAGAATCATGAGCTGGTACATCTGTCAGTAAAGTGACTGGCTGTGGATAGGAAGACCTGGGTTCGATTATTAGAAAGAACAGAATTTGTTCTTTTCTTATCGAGAATAGTGCTGGAGTCCACCCAGGCTTTTGTCCAGTGGTACTAGGAGCTCTTACCATGGGATAAAGAGGAGTGTGACACTGACCATTCATCTCCATCTGTTGCCAAAATCCAGAATGTGTATGCTCATAGCTTTGCCTTCATATTATATGCCTTTATTTTGTGGTGCTAAGTACAGGATCGTTTGTATCTTTACCTAAAGAATCAGTTGCTTGAAACTGAAAGGCAAAACTGGATGAGGGGCATACCTAGTTTGGTTAGGATGTTCCATTGGTTAGCAACCTCTTGTGACAGCTCCAGACAAAAAATAATATGAATGTAGGATTTGAGGTTCTCAGACTGGTGGTTATGAAGGGTACTATCTTCTGGGATATAACACTGTGTAGTCAGTCGAAAGTCAACTGATTTTTCAGAGGAACATATTACTTACATTTACAGGGTCAAAGAATAAGCAGAGCAAGAAAGCAGCATGAAAGTAGGTGGTTCCACTTACAACCTGCTTTGATACTAGTTTCTTGCTTGACTTATTCTTTGGCCCTAAAGATGAAGATGATGTGTTCCTCCAAAACATTGGTTGACTTTCAACAGACTACACAGTGTTATGTCCCAGAAGACAGTGCTCTTCAAAATATAACATATCTGTGCTGCTTGGAAGTGCATTTATTTTAATTCTAATATGTTTTTACTGGCATAGAAGTGGTGGAATTCTCAAGTTTGTTTTCTGTTAAATGGTTAAGGAGTTTCTGTATACTGTAATGCTGTTGTTATTTAAAAAGTTGGGAATGTGGACAGTAAATAGGACTTTCTCTTCAAAAGATGACATATCTGTGCTGCTTCAAAGTGTGTTTATTTTAGTTCTAATGTAAGTTTACTGGCATAAAAGTGGTGGAATTATCATGTTTGTTTACTGTTAATAGGTTGAGGAGTTTCTGTCTACTGTATTGTTCTTGTGGTGTAAGATGTTGGGGATGTGGGCAGTGAGTTGTAAATAGGATGTCCACAGTCTGCATAAAACACCTAGTTCTTGATGTGAGTTAGAGCTTTTGTCTCTAACAAATTCCTGAACGTGGGTTAGTGTTATTGCTTTTACTTTAGCTTTCTGAAACTTTTCAGAAGTTAATCTGCCATTCCACTTAACTACATTTTCATGTGTGGCTACAATGTCTGAGATGTGTTTACCTAAAATTATTCCTGTGCCAACAGTAATGTTAGATGTAGAAGTCTGGCTTTCAGAAATAATTTTCATTGAATGTTGAAGATGTTCTGTTTTTGTGAACGTTGCAGTTGCCATCATCAGGGCTGTAGTCCGGAGGGGGGTTTTGGAAGCCCTTATATAGATTTGGCAGTGGGCAGTGAGTGGGAGGTGAAGGTGTGATTAGATAAAACAGAGGTCTTGGGTGCGCTCCAGTAGGGAAGGACCCCATGGTTGAGGAAAAGTTAATGCAGAATGTTTCAGTTTGCATGTGTTTAGGACAAGCGTTGTTTTATAGACCCTTTAGCAGCCATGTGAGAAAGACAAGAGGTGATGGTAGAGGTTTTTGGTGACCATATGATTAGGAAAAGATGAGCTTAAAACTTTTTTATCCCTGCGTGGTAAGTAGAAGCAGTTGTGGAAAGATTTTTAATTGACATGTAGATAGGAAAGTGGTGCTGAAAAAATTTTTTGACACCCAGTGTATAGCTTTGCACAGTTGAAATTTAGGGGGCATCTGATGAAGGTAATTGAATGGTAGGTCTGAAAAAAGTGAAGCCAGGCTTTACTTGGTCTAATCCATCATTGACATTGAAGTTATAGGGGTGTACTTTTATCGTACTTCGGAAAAATTTGAACACTGAACGTGACATATTTCTGATAGCTGCAGTTGTACATGAACCTCAAGCTCAAAAACCTAAGGGCAAGTGATGTCAAAGTTTACCAATGCCATTTGAAGACCCTTATCTGAAAAATCCATTATATAAAGAAAATGTTCATCTGATTAAGGATATGACTTTGTTTAAACATTTTATTATCTACTCAGTACACATGGGGTCACATGATAGTGTAGTTGTTGAGGCACTATGCTAGAAACTGGAAGGGGTTCGAGTCAGGAAGAGGTGTATTTTTTCAGTTTACCTAATATTTTAGGCTTTCATATCTGGTATTTATTCAGTTTGGACCAGTATTCAGGTTGCGTGTTGCAATGTGGTATGGACTTTGAATGCAAAATTGCATGGAGCTGTGTTCATCCAGAGCAGAATGGGCTGGACAGATGGGAACCAGTGGAAATGTCAGAGATAGCAGGTAGTCGCTCATTGTTGTAAAACATGCTCATAAGCCAAATGATATTAATTTGTGAGACCTCAGAGGCATATGCCAGAGGTTGAATACAAAAGCAATAATTGAATGAAATGTTAGCTGTCTTTTCATTGTAAGTTGAGAACTGGCTCATATGGCATGTTGAGCAAGGCTAGATTATGAATCTCCATTATTTCTAGCCAGTTAACATAACTCGAGATTATAATTTAACCGTTTTATAAATATCATAACAATATCACTTTGTCATGAAACTATGCACCTGTATGATACTCATTGAAAATAAGTTTCCTTCTTGTAAACTGAGTCATTATGTTCCCCATATAGATTCAGTGATATAAATGTCCAGTGATCTATCACATGTTCAAGTTAGCACAGCAATACTCTTCTGATGTGAGTATGACAAACTAATATTGGTGGATTTCCCATAGCTTGAACACCTCTTTACAAGTAATGCATAGCAAAAACATACTGCTTATTCATGAATATTGTAAACCATTGCTGTTGTTTGTGTGCCATATGATCATTGACTCTGATAGATTTCATTGACTGTACTGCCAGGTGGCTTGTCCATGCAATAGGGAGTATGAGTTAAGATAACTTACTCTGCCTGTTCCCTGTAGCCACCACTATGCTGAAACCACTCTTCAGTTCCATGCACTTGGAAGTCATGTATATTTCATAAACAGAATTTTAACACACCCATTTGAGAGCTGACACCTCTAGGTTACATCCCCTTAACCCATTAGTTCCAGAAGTTCTGTCCTAGCTGTGTTGGAAACTGACCTTTTTTTTTTTGTTCTGCATGAGATTGGTTGTTTGTAAGTGATGCAACATGATATAATCTTTGTGTAGTATCAGGTACATTAAGGCTGTGCCATAGCTCAAGCGATTAGTCGCTGGCTTCCCACCACGGCGGCCAGGTTTCCATCCTGAATCTGGTCAAGTGGGATTTGTGGTTCTCCGAGTACTTCGGTTTCCCCTGCCAATCTTCATTCCACCAATTGCTCCACAATCGCCCTCGCGTATCATCTGGGGCTTGTACAATAGGCCAGAAGTGGCCGCAGTACAAGGGACTTAGTCCCACCCCACTAGCAATAAAAAATCGGGTACATTAAACTCCCTGTCATCTGGCATATGTGGGGATTGGGGTGTGCTGGTTACATGAATCTGCTGTTTGCAAGAGGAAAACAAAAGAAACCAATATAGAGTCAGAGCAACACATTTTCAATTTAGTATTTGCTTGGGAGTTTACCCACATGATATATCAGATTAAAGAGTGAAAGATTGCAGATATATATACTGTAACACAATCACAAATGCGGTTAGCTTCTACAGTAAAGGCACCTGCCTGAGGGAAGACAACAGGTAGTGCTGCTGGTGGTGGCTGAGAGAACTGTCACATTGAGGGTGAACATATGTTTATCACAATTTTGTTTTTGAATAACTTTGTAGAAGTGGTGATTTTTCTTTGAAATATTTATTAGAATATGAGAATTCTGCGTGTTTGGATGCCAGGTATCTGGGATTTTGCTGTAATATGTCTCACAGTAGGATTCTTTGTTACTTCGATCCCCCCCCCCATGAACTCAAAATATTATGTTCTACATGCATTATGGTTACAAACACTGGACAGTGCTCTACCAGCACTTAATATACTCAAACCATCATGTAAGTTACAAATTGGTCAGTGTATGGGTAATAATATACTGTATGACTCCACCCTTTAATGCATTCAGAGCACCAGTCATTTTGCCCAAAAGGCAAGCTTTTGTACCTGTTTTGAAATACTGATATTTCAATGATATTCGTTTTAATGTTGTGTAAACTGTTGTCTGTTGGTAGCCATGGATTGTGA